GTCGCTTCATAAAATTCAGATTGAACCACTGATGGCAGATGGACTATTCTGACAATGCTTTTCATACTTTTCTGGGCCTTGACAGTGTTATTTACTTGGCAGTCAATGGGACAGTCACAAGCCTCCAGGTTTTCATCCAAAATATCTAGGTAAGTGATTAATGACAAAATTTTCATTTTGGTGTGGAGTAACCCTTTAATTATGTCTATCTCACTGAAATCATGCATTTTAAACCATATTAGTTTAAACTTCTGATATACGGTTTTCTGAGTGCACAAGTCTGAAGAAAGCAAATCCACTGCTCTCGTCTCCTCTGGAACAGCATACTATCAAACTACTATTCTATGCAAATTGTAGAATTGATGCGTATCTCACATACCATTTCTAAAAAAACAAAGTATTATACAGTAATTGGAAGCCAGTGTTTCATTTTGAACACAATCCGTTTCATTGGCTGCATCAGCACAAGCCTCTTGTCTTCCATTGGCTAGACAAACAGTCCAGCGCTAGACTCAACTGTTGGCTAATGATGCCATTTCGGGCTAGTCTGCATGCTCAAGCGGGTCAAAATTTTGTGTGTTCACTTTTTTTGCATGAATCACACAACAGAAGTGTCTGAACAATACCACTGTGAAACATGGAGTGCCAATATACATTAAAAAAAAAACTTTTCATATTTATAGAGCCAATTAACACTCTTTTGATATTTGAGTAACAATAAAAATTAAATGTTTAAAGTTCAGGGAAATTAAATGAAATCAGAATTACATACTTCTTTTTTTTTTTTTTTTAATGCCGGATAAATGCAGTTTTCTTACCAAATATACAGTTGACACATCAGGACACATCAGGTGCTCATTATCATCACCTCAAGTTTCAAACAATAGTCAACCAACTAAAGTTTTTTATTTTATATTTTGTTTTTGTTTTAACCTCTTTTTCATAACAACAATTGACCACTTTCAATGTAGGTTGCCAGCGAGACAAAAAAATTTAATATTATTCTTGCTAAACATGAAGTGCACTAAACGGACGAACTATTCCGGACAGTGTTTGAGGCTATTACGCCATCCACCCTGTGTTGTCAATGAACCTTCCAACACTCAAAAGCCACAAACCAGGATCATAATCAGGAACAACTGCCTGATACTGCGGTCCAACTCGCATCCCGCCTGCACCTTGTGAGTGACAAAAGAACAAATAAGATGAACTGATTACATTCATCAGAAGTGTATGAACTTGTGAAGAGCGACCGAGGCTACCACAATGACTTACCATGCTCGTCATCACTTGAGGAACCCGAACTTCCTTCCTCCCATGAATGGTTGCTGTTCCCATTTGAAGTAAAACTTTTGGCCGGATTATTCACAGAGTTTCTGCCCCTTCTTTTACCCGATATCTCAGCGGTGCCCTTCTCCAACATCGCAGGCATCTTGACAGCGAAACGCAAAGGAGCTTGAAGGAACTTGGGCTCGCTGGCTGCTCGCTATAGCTAAGCTAACTCAGCTCAACTGCTCTGATCTGAAACAAATAACACCGTCCTGCACTGATGCAAACTCCCCCAACTGGCAATATAGAGTTACGAACACTCAAAAATGTGCATCGAATGCATTATATTTCCCCCAGTCGCGTTAATAAGTGAAGTTTAGCTTTGGAGGCAGATAAAAGCACATACGGCTGCAGTGCTACCAGACAGTGCGGCTGCTCTAGCGTTAGCTCTCTCGCTCTCTCTCTCTCTTTCTCTGATTGACCTGCTTTAGCTAACGTCAGTTCCTCTTCAAGGAAGAAATTCAAACTTCTGCACACAATGAACAAGCTAATTATTTCCCGAGACCAAGCGTCGAAGCAGTGTTTGTCTAGAAAACATCTATGTGCATGAAAAACAACTCTAGACAACCATAAGCCGTTGCATCAGCTGGCACTCCCTACTTATGGACTAGTTTAGTGAAAACCATCAATGCATCACCATAGCAAAAAGATCCCCTTTATATTTGATATTCTTGATGCTGTTTTGCAGCATACCATTAACCATCACACTGCTTCATAAAACTCAAGTGGGAGAGTTATCATCCACATAATTAAACTAGAACATGTGTGGCTTGCACTTAAATGGCTTTTTAGGTCATGGTTAGCAGAGTCATGTAATAAAACAACATTTTTATTTTAAATGTTAGTTTAACTTTATTTTTTAATTTGGACAAGAAACCCTCAAATGTCAGGTGTGCTCAAAAAGTTACAAAACATAGTTCACCTAAAAAAAGAAAAGAAAAGAAAGAAAGTTCTATCATTTACTTTCTACATCCATTACAATTTTCAAGACATGGTTACAGCCTTGCATTTTTGTCCATTGGCTAGTATGTTAATGTCTTGTTATTACATCCTAGTACATAGGCTATTTGTGACCCTGGAGCACAAAACAAGTCATAAGTAGCAAGGGGTATATTTGTAGCAATAGCCAACAATACTTTGTATGGGTCAAAATTATCGATTTTTCTTTTATGCCAAAAATCACTTGGATATTAAGTAAAGATCATGTTCCATGAAGATATTTTGAAAAATTCCTACAGCAATATATCAAAACTTAATTTTTGATTAGTGATGTGCATTGCTAAGAACTTGATTTGGATGACTTTACAGGCGATTTTCTCAATATTTTGACTTTTTTGCACCCTCAGATTCCAGATTTTCAGATAGTTGTATCGCGGCCAAATAGTGTCCTATCCTAACAAACCATACATCAATGGAAAGCTTATTTATTCATTATTTATTCAGCTTTACGATGATGTATAAATTAACATTTCAAATTTCCATTTCAAAAAATGTACCCTTATGACTGATTTTGTGGTCCAGGGTCACATTTATGAGACACTAGATCTGTTCCAGTTGTTACTTGTAAGTTGTAACATTTCTTGTCTTACTACATATACATATAGGCTATAGGTATTTTTATATTCAAATTCAATAAAAAAAATCTTAAGACTAGAATCATACTAGTAACAACTGGAATGCACAATTGTCTTAAAAATTGGCACTAGTGTCTCTTCAGACTACTACAACTGGAATAGAGTCAGTAACTATTTGAATAGTTACTAGTAAATAAAAATTTTATAGTGTCTAATGAATATTTAAAATTGAATTGATTTTTTCTAGTCAGTATTGGATTACTTACTAATATTTAAAATATTAGTTATTAGATTAGTAGCCTATTTGGAAGGGATACATATTATTTAATGTGATGCTAGTATACATTCTGACTGATTTGAGGTACATCTGTCCAAAGACTACTAAGCCATCAGGATATCTGTGCCTGTAGCAATACACAACCTTTATTAGTTATATAAAGGTATTATTTTCTGGTCATGCCAAGTCTACATTGTGTTTCTTTGTGTATATGGTGGCATCCAGTGTTGGGGGTAACGCATTACATGTAACTTGAGTTACGTAATCAGATTACTTTTTTTCAAGTAACTAGTAAAGTAACACATTACTTTTAAAACTTATAACAAAATATCTGAATTACTTATTCAAATAAGAAACACAAGTTACTTTGTTTATCATATATTGATTGAGATCTCTCTTGTTTTCATGTTGAGAGAATTCGGGAGTAAGTGCAGAGGCATGTGCGTTTGTGATGGTTATTGGAGTTCTAGACTAAACATGTATTTACTCAATTTACCTGTTAAAAAACAGATTCAGTATTCCTAGAAATGAATAAAAACTGTGAAATGCAAACTCAGAATATTCCGTAAAATTGCAATAATCTGTTCAAATCTGGTAAATACAAATATACTTTATGTATTAATTCTCACTGCTGACCTTTGATGGTCCAATTCAACCATACAGATAAGCAAAAATGATTTTAGTTAAACATCACATTTGTGTGTGTGTGTTATTTATTGCTGAAATAAGAGTGTTATTGTTATCAATTTATTTTTTGTAAGCAAGCCCAGCCCAGGTGAGAAAAAGTAATGCAAAAGTGATGTAACACATTACTTTTCATAAAAGTAAGTAACGCAAATAGTTACTTTTTTTTTAGGGAGTAACACGATATTGTAAAGCATTACTTTTAAAAGTAACTTTCCCCAACACTGGTAGCATCTCAAAACAAATTTATAATAATTTTTATTGCAAATGTGGTGAGATCTCTCTGAGACCCTGAACACTAGTGGGATGAACACTAGTGCTAGCCTTATGCTACAGACTTCCATTCACTCCTTGCTTCATTTGATCTCAAACGACTTACCACTACAAGCACGCACAAATCAGGCAACCAACTTGACTTAATTTACACACGCAATTGTATTGCAGACAACATTCTGGTAAATAAATGACTAAATGTAAATGTAAATGTAAATGAACAGCATAAAAACAGCACACAGCTGCAAATGAATTTGTGTAGTGTAAAATGTATTTAACAATATTCTGAATAATTAAATCTAAACGCCGGTCAAATCCAAACAGTACAATTTTTGCAGTAATATGTCTATGCAGTATTGCTACACAGGCTGTAATTACATGTTATTACATCTGATTACGGTTCATCTGATCACCTGATTGGAGATAAAGTGATAAACTAACTTTTTTTTTCTGGGGGGAAAAAAATACAATCATAATACACATCCGCTAGATGGCGCACGTGTTCCTCAGCACATTTAAGTCTTCCCTTTTTATGTAGATCCACTTGACTACTGCAGCTCAGTCTGATTGTCGACCAATTTGATTAATTTTTACTTAGACATATTTTACCCTTTATTTCTTAAAAAAATCTCTTAACTTCAATAAATAAATACAATTCTTGATTGTGCATATATACAATTATATAACCTCAAGGAAAAATACTTAATCGTTCACCCATAATAATAAACGTTTACAGGGTGCCATAATAAACAGATCAGGTAGATCACCCCGTGCAAAGAGCGCATGGCTCGGTCTGTGAAATATTATGTAACAAGACTCGCGCTGAATGTACTGAATGCGCGAGGGTCACTCGATAGCGCCCAAACATACGCACACATGCGTTCTACACTAATAAGGAGAAGTTGGAGGCACTTTGTACCCTGGTGACGTGCGCCAGCGTCCAATGGCAAAGAGCGCAGCGATAGGCGCAAACCAACACGGGCTGCCCATCATATATAAACTCTCGGCTGAGCTTGTAGTGGGGTTTGAAGGCGGGTGAACGGTTTTAGACACTATCGTACGAGATTACCGCCTTGTTTTTCATTTATTATTCTGCCTGGCCTTCTGGGTTACGCATCTATATTCTCACAGATGGTTCAGTCAGTGTCAGTTCTGGCTGCACTGAATATCCACGTAAAAGCCTTTAAATCGTCATTTTAAATCCAAACAGCCCCCCAAAAACGTTTATTATAACAGCGGAACTCACGATTCCTTTGGATCTGGGGATGTACGAGAGCCGCGCGGATTATAAATCCCCGAAACAATGCCAAAAATCCTCATTTGCATTTTATCAGGCTGTCCGGGACCTGTTGCCGGTGTGGGTCCTGGAGGACATGCGGACAATGGAGGTGTTTCACTGGGAAGATGACGGACAGGCGTGCGCGTACTCCCCGTCGGAGGCGTTTCTGTACGCGCTGGTACATGATCACCAGCAGTATGCGCGTTATTTACTCAACAGGTTCTCCACCGGCGCGCTGGAGATGCCCAGCAGAAGCTTCTGCTGCTGCCAGGCGTCCACCACACCGCACCTGGCCATAGCCGTCCGCTACAACCGCATCAACATCCTGAAAATGATCATGGCCACCATTAAAGACCTCACAGACTGCGACAGACGGAGCTACCTGAACCGTCACGGATGCGTCCACACCGACGGCAGCAAAACCGCGCTGCATCTCGCGTGTGATCTGGTGCGTCCCGAGTGCTTGGTACTGTTGCTGGGTCACGGCGCGTGTCCTTACGCAACGGACCTGACAGGGAACACCCCCCTGGACTGTTTACTCAGCCATATCTGCCAGAGTGACTTTGACATGCGGGCGAAGCGCATCTGCCTCGGCTACCTCATTTTATTCATGCCCACATTTCGCTTCCGGACGAAGAGACAGTTGCAGGACAGTGGCGATGTGTGGAGGGCGCTCCTAGGAGAGCAGGCCTTCCAGTGGCTTTCAGGATCAGGACCTCCTTCGCTGTTCGTTCAGGCCATGCAGAAGCTCAGCCAGTCCATTCCCACAGATCAGCTGGACTCACTGCCGGACTTTCTGAAACCCCTGGACTTCAGACTGGATCAAATCTAATAAAGTACATAGTTTGACTCAATTCTTTCTTGAAATATTCAGGTTTGAGTGTATGTGGAAAGCTCTGTAAATGTGTGAATAGTTTGATGTTGTATAGTCGCATTGTGAAAGACACTGTATAATTATTAAAATATATATTTTTTGCATTTGTTGCCTTGGAGCTTAATTTTTCAGATTCAGTTCAAGGCGCATCTTGGGTTTTATGAAACAAAAATCACAAGACATCCTCTGTCTTCACATGAACTAAATGTCTGAACATATAGGCAATGCTAATCTTTAATAGTATGATTTTCTTCATTTTAGGATGAACTAAATAATAACACTAATTAAAATATTTGCAGTAAGAAAGATGAAACAATCAAAACCATCACATTTGAGCTTCTGAGTTTCAAAGCTCCTCTTCGCTTTTTTGCATGGGATATGCAGACAACTTCATGGGATCCTTTTTAAAGACAAAGGGGCTCCTACGTATGCTGGGAACTTGTTGACTTAAAAAAAAAACTATTTGGTTTGATTCATACAAAAAAAAAAACACTAGTTACAAAGTGTAAATTAATATCCATGCAGTTTAAATTACAGTAAGACAGTAATATTGTGAAATAGTATTACAATTTTAAAATAACTTCTTTCAGTTGTGTTGCTTAATATTTTAGTGAGAACTAATACCATGATACATTTTTTCAGGATTCTTAAAAATGAAAGAATAGCATTTATTTAAAACAGAAAACTTTAATAACATAAATGAACTTACTGTCACTTTTGATTAATTTAAAAGTATTAATTTCCTTAAAAAACAAACAAACAAGAACATTTGAAATAAATTCTGAATCTGAACATTTGGTAGCGTACATCATCTGTAATATCACATTGTTACAAATAAACCACAAAATGCAGAGACACTTTCTGTAAACATTTTATTTGTAAGTTTGTCATGACTAAGCATGGAGTAAAGACCGCATAGTTTAATATGTGAGTTCACATTTAGCTGCATCACCACTTAAACCACACTGGCTTAGCATTACATGTCCAGTGTACCACATTTATCACTTTAATTGGACTTACAATATGGTCTAAGTGCACAACTGAAATTAGTGGGGCAGAACAG